ATTCTGAGTTTTGAGCTCCACGGTTCTTAAATTTATCATGGTTGAGAAACACTGCCTTAGCACAGGGGTTCTCAACTTTGGCAACTTTAAGACTTGTGGACTTCAACTCCCAGAATTCCTCAGCCAGCTTTGCTGGCTGAGGAATTCTGGGAGTTGAAGTCCACAAGTTTTAAAAGTTGCCAAGGTTGAGAACCCCTGCCTTAGCAGATACAGCACGTGAGAGTGCCTAGCGGCAGTCCCTATCTTCGTTTATTGGCCGAGTACTGCATTGTCTTCATGGTATCATGCGTATGAATGCTAGAATCAATATGCATCCATGTCGAGTCACGGATAACAGAGCTTCAACTCAAATGAATAACTCACGAGATTCCCCATTAAAAAAAATAGGGCCGCAGTTTTATCAGAGGCAAGGGAATGCGAATGTATGCTATCTTCTGAACAAGTGCGATACTTTCAATATTAATCTGCGTCAGGTAGCAGAGGTTAGTCCTTCGGAGAAGGAAATATACCGAAGGATTATAAATATCACCTTCTGGGCCAGTCTGGTACTTCGCCCTCTCCTCCGTACTACTTCTTTGGAGGCAATTATTTTGTTGACAAGTTGGGGATTGCTCTGCATCTGCTGGTCTCCTCCCCTTCCAACAGACATGGTTTCTTCCTCTCCCCGGCGCTGCCAATGGTACATTCTGATAGCCGTCCGAGACAGGAAGAGGCGGCGCTGGCAGCGCTATCGGGGCTTCTTTGGTAGAATCGCAGCTGATGCAGTAAGATGGCAGCGTCTTTTAATGTCGCCGTTCCTGGGGGCAGTCCGGAGGGTGCTGTCGCCGGGATTTTCGGGCTGGGTTTGAGGGACTGCGTTCAGCACTACTATGGGTTGGCCTTGAAAAGCGCTTGGAGCGTGAGTGTGGGGACAGATGGGGCCGCTTGTGAAGCAATCTGGAACGAGGGTCGATCGGCCCTTGGCCGAAGCTAACCTCCCGAGTTCCCTGGGGTTTGGCGTAACTTCTAGCAGACGCGTAATTTCTAGGAGCCAGGAGTACGCAAAGATATGTGGCTGTGTGCTGCAGCTTTCAACATCGCGCAGCCCCAGTTCCTCATATGAGACGATGGCCGTTGTTCTGCAAGGATAAGGAAATTTCCCCATATTCTGCTGTTGCTGCTCCTGATTTCTGTGATAAAGACCAGATTTAAACGAAGCCTCCAAAACTAGGGTAAAATGTCCCTGGTGTCTTAAGTCCTATTTTTTTTAATAGTTGCACGAGGCAATAATTCGGATGAAACTTTCGCATCACTAAAGCTTGGTGTTAGGAATGGTAGATAAAGGCACGTTATTCTTGCTAGAAAAATAGAAAACTTCAGCCTCTGAAATTCTTTGCAGGTCTATAGAATTGCTCCTGCCTTTTGTTTAGGTATACATACCGTATTACCAACACCCAATAATTTACGGAGGCTGATGGCTTTTGAAAATTAATGATGAGAATAGAAGTCCGGAATACCTGGAGGACATCAGGTTAAGGCAATGCTGGGCATGATTTATAACTGAAACAGGCATTATAAATCAGACCTTTGCACAAATGTTGATGATGAAACTTGAATGTTTGAATTGTGTTGAGAATAGATAACAAGGTCCAGGTTCAAGGCATTGTTATTTGAGATATTTTTTCTAACCAGCCAGAGTAATTGAGCAGAGTGGTCATGCTTCAGATTCCTTTAGCGAAACAACATCATTTATCAAGACCTAGGCCAGGGGTAGGCAACCTTGGCTCTTTTATGACTCGTGGACTTCAACTCCCAGAATTCCTGAGCCAGAATGGCTGGCTCAGGAATTCTGGGAGTTGAAGTCCACGAGTCATAAAAGAGCCAAGGTTGCCTACCCCTGACCTAGGCAGTGTGTCTTCTCTGTTGCAGTAGATGCCCTCTGGAGTGACATCCTCATGCTCCGTGGCTCCCACTGTATAGTTTTCTGGAGGTTGTTAAAACTGTGGTCTCTGGCTTGGGCTAGCATGGATTCCAAACTTTTGCTAGTTTTAACTGCTCTGGGATTTGTTTAACCATTGCATTATTCCAGATTGCATGGGTTGGGGTTTTTTTTGTAAACTATTCAATCTTTTGTGGACAGTTTCCAAGTCTCCAAATTGAATAAAGATTTGTCTTTCAACTTACTGCAGTTTTGTGTTGAGGTCACATGAGATGGGGATTATAATTTACTTGTCATAAAATCTACTGCAGGAATTACTGTGTAACTAATAAAACATTAATTAGCTGTACCTGTAAAATCAGGATTTGTACATGTGTATTCTGATTATGAATATAAAACAAGGAAACCATACCTGTCACTTTTGTTGATGATCAGTGGCAGGACCTGAATGGAGACATAGTGGTTCTTCTGCTCCTACTGGATTTGTTAGTGGGGTTCAATACCATTAATTGTGGTATCCTTCTGGACTGCTTGCAATAGTTGGAGAAAATATTTTGCAATGGTTCTACTCCTTCTGAGCAGGCATTTCAAATTGGGGAAGAAGAGTTGAGGCCTCTTCCCTTTTTAAAAATCTGGGTGCAATCATTTGTCAGATTGGGTTGAGGCAGGGGTGTCAAACTGCCGGCCGACAGGCCGGTTTCATCATACCGAAGCCGTGCCCAGCTATGCAAAAAGAGTCACAATACATCACGACATGTGACGTGGCGAGTTTGACAGCCGTGGGTTGAGGTGTCATCAGTTTACCTTCACCCCGGGCAAAACAGTAGATGGATGGAAGTACTGAACAAGCACTTAGAAACTGTGGGGAACTGGATGAGACACATGGGCTAAAGTTGAATCTTAGCAAGATGGATTTGCTGTTTGTATAGAAGTCCTCTGGCTCCAGATTAGTTCTATCCCTCATTCCATATGGATCTGAACATATGAAGGAGCAAGTGCACACTTTGTAAGTTTTTCTCTGATCTCATAGTACCTGCTAGATCAGCAGGTAGACGTTGTAGCCAGAACAGCCTTTGCCCAGCTTTTGTACTAAAGTCAATTGTGAGTTATTATTATAGTAGTACAACAATGTTACTTGACAGCCCTGATGAGCATTGAGACCCCCAATGTAATATATTCTGATTAGAGGCTGAATTCCACATATTGATTTCAATTATCAGCCATATCCTTGGTTTCAGGCATCTAGCAGAATTCTCCTTAGCATCATTCATTATTTAGCATTTGCCCTTAGCTCTGATTGGAGCAGTAAAAATAGACAAATTTATAATGCTAATTTTCATAGCTATATTTCTCATTTTGTCTACAAAGTTTTCTGGGTACCATTGGTAACAAAAGGTTGAAGCAGATTAACAGCTTAATCTGTTGCATGTTTAATTGGGGATTAATTTGATTTACTTGCTAAAGTTGTTCAGAATTACTGTTTATGGCCATAGTCCTTTTTTGCACGCTTATCTGCAAGCTCCTAATAGATTTATATTGGAGTAAAGAAATATTAGGTCAGGTCAAATTTCACTTACTCTACAATATGATTAATTGACTAATATTTATCTTATTTGCCAGCATATATTCAACAAATCTAAAATATAGAGTTTCTGATAATACTGTAGTCACTTCTAGAAAAGGAAGAAAAGTAAATACTGACAACTCAATTGATAAATAGTACTTGGCATTTATATGTGCAATTGCCCTGATTAATGTAATGTAAGTATCCCCTTTTCCCTTTTATGTTTATTATACATTTTAGCTGGGGAACATTTTATTAAATGCAATGATTATGAATTAATATGATCAAAATATGGAAATTATGTTAACAATTGTTCTGTCAGGCTTTAACTTTGTTTTCCTTCTTTAAAGGTTGTCTCATCATTTCTTGAAAATATGAGACCTGGTCCAGATCTCTTTGGTTTTTCATGGGAAATTATAATCGTTGCCATTTTTACTGTTTTACTGTTCTTATGCAGGATGTATAAGTCAGTAAGTATGCAATAAGGCATTAAATTGGAATGCTGTAAAATCATTCTGTTAAGCATCTAGCTAAAGTAGATTTTTATACCATGTTCCTATGCATGCTTATTTGCCAGTAGGTCAATTTATGGATAGTCATGTTAAAGACTATAATCCTAAATTGCTATATAGATTCAGGAGGAGGATCCTCTTTTCAATCAAAATATATAAAATTTGTATTGGAAATATTTTTAAAATAAAATTAAGCTTAATAAATTTTGAGAATTATTAGCAAATTTTATTTTCTTTGACTAAACCTCTTTTGATTTGGAATATTTAACACAGCATAATTTGACATTTTCAAATCTAATTTTGTGATTTATAATTATATAAGAACAGCACTTTGCAAAATGTAACTTATAATGAAGTATATAAACACTTTTCCTTTCTTCTTAAATTAGCTTTTGGTAAAATCTCTCTTACGAAATGATGATTATACAACCCTTCCTTCCTTGTCCTATTTAAATATCTTGGTAAACATCCCCTTGTAACCTAAAGCATTATACAAAATTTAGTTTACTTTTTGCTTATATATTTTCAAAATAATACAACAAATAAGTTATGGGAAAACATTGCAACATTTCAAAATTGCCTCCATTTTGGAAATGCTTGCAATTTTGAGGCAATGTATTTTTATTTTTTGATTTCTATAGCCTCCCATTTCAAGTGAGTCTCATAAAACATAGAATAATTTTAAAAATTAAGACAATTAGACAGTACAAAATCAATATATATAGTATCAAATGAAACTATTAATATAGATCAGGGCTCTTCAAACTTGGCCCCTTTATGACTTGTGGACTTCAACTCCCAGAATTCCTCAGCCAGGGCATGCTGGTTGAGGAATTCTGGGAGTTGAAGTCCACAAGTCATAAAAGGGCCATGTTTGAAGACCCCTGTTATAGATAGCAATGTAGCCAGGAAACGGGGCCCTTAATACACTTAGGGCACATAAACAAGTCTTTATGACCTTGCAAAAAACCATGAAAACTACCACCTCCCCGCAAAAGAGGAGATTGGAGACTGGACAAAAGCTGTCTAGACTAGTTGGGTCAAGTGATGGCCCTTTCAGGAGAGGACACACCACTGCCTCTTTAAGAACCAAAGGAACCATTCCCTCCTTCAAAGAGTTATTAGCCCCCTCCCAGGCACCCTTAACTAATCGGGAGGGACACTGATCTAACACAGAGCTGGCCAAACTAGCAGCCACAAGAGCTCTGTCCAGTTCCTACAATGCAGCAGGACCAACCCCCTCCTCCCCCAAATACCCTTGCAAGACTTCATTCCTATAGCCTCTGTGCTGGCTTAAAGTTCAATGCAAGCAACTTCATCCGCTAAGTATGCAGCATATTCCAAAGAGCAAACCTGCAAGTAAGACCCAATATTGTTCCCTTTAGGGAGGCACTTTGTTGTTCAAAATAGGGCCGCTAGGCGACTATCTGCAGATGCAATAGGGACAAAGAAATAATTATGTTTCCCACCATTACCACACAAGATAGCTTCTCATGATTACTATAGCTCATGTTTGATCATCTTCAGTCCCTTTCATTTGTCAGCAGTACTCTAGGCATTTCTTAGCCCACTTTAACTCCCCCAACTTCTCTATATACTATGAGGTGGAATCTTGGGGATGGGGGCTGCTCAGGCACAATTCCATACAAGTCAATGACCACTCTCCTACTTGGGAGCAAAAGAGGTCTGGTTGTGAAAAATAATATGTTTTCTTCTTTCATAAGTCTATCTAACTTCACTTAAGATATTTACTTTCACTACTATTCACTGTGCTTGAGACTAATCAGGTTAAAAAACTTAGCTAATTGGGTGAATGTGGTTAGCTTTAATCTTGTTTTATTTCAGCTAATGTCTTATGATTGAAGAAAAAGCATTCTAGGAAAATACTATTATTCCACCCATTTTAGATATTTTATCTGAATTAGTGTAAGGTCTTTATGTTATGTTTGCTTCAACCCCCAAAATCTATTTTTTTTATTATGATACACTAGTCTTAAGACTTAAATTGAAATTTGAGTTTCAATCTCATCAGATATTGTAAACAAATTGCAATATTTGCTCTTTTGTTTTTTTGCAGGTTACAAGTAGACGTTATGTAGGTAAGTTAATTTATTTTCTGTGAGTTAGGCTTTGTAGATTGTGTTGGAGTCATTTTCTGTTAAAGGTTATAATACTCATCTCTTTTTTTTTAGAAAGAGAGAAGCAACTTGCCAATAATATTGCTGAACTAATTGAAGAGCGATGTAAATTAATGGATAAACTCAGTCTCCACAAAAAAGAGGTAATTTCAGTTATTTCAAATGTGAGCAAATAGGTATGGAAGGATAGGCAATTTATGGGGTTCACTATCAGAACTTGTTAGCAAATGGCCAAATTTGATGATATAAATTACGCCTTTTTTCTAAAATAAGGGTTGTCCCTGAAAGTAAATTTGGTTTTATGTGCCTTTCTGATGTAAAACGTATAGGAAAGATTTCTTAAGGTATGACTTCCTGTGTTTAAGAAATCTTAACTCACAATAAATACACTGGAGTTTAACCATCCTAACAAGGAAGAAGCCTCACTGAAATAAGCAAACGGAGTGTAAGGGACTCTATGAATAGTTTATTATCCCATTTACAGAGATAGCAACTTCTCTACTAAGTTGGAGGTAAAAGGTTATTGCTCTGACTAGAGCAGGAGACCTTACAGTGATGTCACCAGAAAGAGTGACAGACTCTTTTTAAACTCTTCTCTGGGCTTGAGGAAATTAAAAAGAATGGAAACAAGCAAGGTATTCCAATTCTGATCCTTAAATCTCTCCACCACCAAATGGCCTAGGCCAAAACCAGTTTCTGTTTCCATCTTGATGTGGGAGGAGCAGTGTTCCTGAAGAATCTAAAAATAGTTCTCTTTTATTTGAAATTTGGTTTTCATACTACAATATTTCCCTAACATGTTATTCTTGAAAGGAAACTGTGGCATATAATTTTAATAAAGTTATTCAACATGTACAATATCATATACTGTAAGTGCCTTGAGAATAATTAAACTTGAAATGTTAAACAGTTTTAAACCAATTCTTCTGACAATTTGTTAGAAACTGATAGTTTCTGTGCTAAATAATTGTTCATTTGTGCAATCTCAGATTGCTTTTGGATCAGTCTGTCATAAAGAATTAAAACAAATTATTTTGAACTATTGGAACAAAATGAGAAGTGCTTCTTTGTTTAAAATGTAACATGATGTTCTTGTTTTAGTATGCAGAATTGGAAAATACTCTGAAAGATGGCAGCTTTCTACAAGAGTCAACCATTGCATCAAATATTAAGGTAAAATTGGAAGAGACAGAACCACTTGTAGGGTATTCTGGTTTCTGGTTCAAATGTAACTATGACGGTTTATTCAAAAATCCCTTAGTATTTATTTGTGCTAAGTAAGTGGAATTCCAATCCCACATATTACAGTTAATAATAGTTTATAATATTGAGCAGCATAATCAAGTTAAGTTTTTCTTGTGTAAAGGTAGAATCTAAAATGTTGACAATTATAGCATTTCTGGTAAATAAAATTGAGGAAAAGATTTGAGCCATTTCCAAATAAATAGGGCAGCTTAAGCCATAATGTATGGGTGTTCAGGAAATAGATTATTAATATTCCCTAATATTAAAAGTCTGTTTTACTACAGGTTCTTGAAATAGAATTAGGCTATCAATTAAGCAAGCTTGTACATAACCCTTCAGTCAACTTAGAGATTTTGACTAGATATTCTTGAGTTAATTTGACGTATATACAGTTTGATAAATTTGCTTTAGGGTATTTTTTATTTATGGGGCTACTCCTAATTTGTGATGATTAATTACAGCTAAAGGTTTTTAGTAACTATTATGTTCTAGATCACATGTACGTCTGAATGTCAGCATGTTTTAAATCTTGGTAATTTAGACAGAGTATGAAGAACTGAACAGTTCAAACTCGGCACTCAAGGATGAAATAGAACACTTAGAAAAAGAATTGAAAGAAGAGAAATCTAAACAATTGGAACAAGATGATTTGGTAAGTCTTCTATTAAAAAGCAAACTTTCTGAGGCAAAAATATTATAATACAAGTTGGGTATATGTTAAAATTAATATCTTGTTCTTTCATTTTTTAAAAAGTGGATAATATCTCATGGTTGATTCAGTTTTTCTTATTTTGATGAAAGTAAAATACATTTCAAAGAAAATATACATAGCACATCAAATTTTGCTTTTGTTTTAATTTCTTAATGTCTAATAATTCAATTTCTTAAACATTTCAATTTAATTACTTATGCTTGTGAGAGAGAATGTCAAATATTTCTTGATACTTGTAGTTGAAGATTAGAAAAAAGAAATAACAATACAATATTTTGAATAAGTTTTAATCTTCAACACAGTGCTATGATTTCACAAACTTTTGATTGATTCTGTGTATATTTTCTCAGAATTTATCTGTGTTATGCTCAAGACTGTTGGCTCCAAAATACTGTGCTAGGAAGAGAATGGATAAGTGGCGGGATTAAGTATCACAGGACTCTGTGACTAGAATGAATTATTCATTTCTTTTGGAAAATGGAGGAGTTACTATTTATCAAGTCAGAGTATTGGGGATTTTTTTTTGCAAATATTTAAAACATTAAAGAGGGAAAGGTGACAAGATGATAAGAGAATGACTTGACTCTTTCATATAACATATATGGCATCCTAACATTAATTGAAAATAATTTTGAACAATATGCCCAGATGAAAAAAATGTAATGGTAAACTACATGGTAATCAGTGCCCAGACATTTTGAGTTGGCAGTATTAATTACATTGAAGAAACTTTTATATAAAATAGTGTTTTAATATTTTTATAGATGGCTGAAATACAGGAAAAAAAGGCATCTTTAGAAAATGAAGCAAAATCTATCCAGTTTCAAGTCGCTGAGGTAAGCCGATATTTAACTTGATGTTTGTATAGGCAAGTGGGCATATGCATCAAAACAGTGTACTTAGAAAAAAAAGCTGATTCTGGATGTTGATATTTGACAACTTGTTAATTTCCTACTTAACTTAAAAAGATTTTTTTTAATGTAAAAGATTAGGCAGGAAAGCTGAGGTTGATATGTACCCCAGAATGGCTTATTTTATCTCCCTGGCATTGCCTGGATCCAAGGTTTTAATACTATCATAAATAGATTAACTCTCCTTAGTACTACTGGAATTGTCTGGTTTAGATAGTAATTGGGTATTTTGGGGGAAAAAATTGAGAATGCTTTATTTATGTTCTGATATATTGTCTAGTACTATATTGTCTAGTACTAGATCAATTTGACCAAGATCATCCTTTTGTTATCCAAAGTTTCTTATCTCCTTTTCAGAACTGAACCCATTGCTTAATCCTGTGTCATGAAAATACAGTGTTGTACAATATTCCTTTGCTTGAAAAAGCAAATATGATACATGATACAGTGCCAATATGATACATATAAATAAGGTCCCTTAATTTAAGGAAGGTGCTACAAAAATATTAAATAAATAAATAAATTGATGCATGCTGCTTAATATAATCTCCATGTCATTTAGGCCAAAACCACATTAAAAGTATATGAAATTAACAGAGAGAGATTGAAGACCTCTTTGCAAGATGCAGTAGAGGAAAACAGACATCTTCATGAAAGTGAAAAACAAGTATGTACTTTTCACTGACTCTATACATACTTAGATTTTTATTCTTTAAACTTAAATATTGTACAAAAAAGAAGAAATTCATCCAAAGGAAGTTTTCACAGAGCTTCTGCTTTTATAAGTAATTGCATTTTGAGACTTTGTTTTTCAGCAGATAAATTTATTCAGTACTGATGAAAAAAGCCCTTTGGGAAACCATTTATAACCCATCTGGTGGATTACTGGGTCAGTTGAAAGTGGAAAGAAGATCATGTGCATAAAAAGGAGTGGGGGAGACAAGGGCAACATAATATCTCTAAGCTCTAATTCAGCTTTTGCTATTCAGTTTGTTTTTTGTTTGATTTGTAACACGTTTCTTTGATATAATATAGTGATTTTGCAAACTTCCCTCTCTAGTTATTACAAGAAGCTGAAGGATGGAGTGAGCGATTTAGTGAGCTAAATGAGCAGATAAAAATGTATGAATCATCTCAAGCAGATCTGGAGGAAGCTCTTAAAAATAAAGAAAGTCAAGTCAAGGTACACATATTTCTAATTTTTTAGCATTGAGTGGTCTAGCAAAAATATTATAGAGATTGTTCTCAGAAAACATATTCAGTAGATTTTAAATGCAAGTGGCTGTTTCAGAAATCAAATAAACCACTGCTAGTTAGAGATTTGTGGTGCCTAATAAGGAGAACATGCTTTCATGCTTTGGCTTCTGTTTTAAAATTGTCATTGAATGGAAATTGAAATTTGCCTCGCATTCTGTAAATTCAATTTTGCTAATATTTACTTGCCACAGTAGTTCCTAAAAACTTTTTTTCTCTCTTGGAAGAAGCTGTCATATTAAGATTCACAATATCCATAAAAGTGTAGTTTTAAGCATGAAACATATTACCTTGATATTTGTTTAATATAGAGTCTAAGATTAATTCACACTAACTTTCTCTTTCTCTCCCTCTCTCTCCCCCCCCTTCTCTCTATTCTAAAATACTGCTTAGTCTCTGACAGACTGCTTGTTAAGGATGAAGGACTGGAGCTGTGCAACAGGAGAGCATGATTCTGTGGGTGACAACTACAAGGATAATGATATAAAGAATGAAACAGAAAAAGAGCAGCACTTGGGTAAAAATATTTTCAGATTTCAAATAGGAAACCACTGTCATTATAGACTTTGTCTTCAAAAAGAAATAAATTATAATACATGTTTGTAGAGAATAGCCTATATCATTCAAGGCATAATGTTTTTTTCTCCAAAAGCTTTATATTAGTATACTAGCTGTACCCGGCCATGCGTTGCTGTGGCTCAGTCTGGTTAAATGGAAAAGAAAGAAAAGAGAAAGCGCACGTTTGTAGTATGTTTAATTTCACAATGCTAGTATGTGTTGCTTTTACATCCAACAGATGGCGCTGTTTTTCAAAAACATGTTTTTACCTGTCACAGGTGTGACATCTATACATCTATATAATAGTAGGTATATAAAAACACGCGCGTATTCGAATGCAACGTTGTGTCAAAATTTCAAAGCAATCGGTGAAGAACTTTCAGAGATTTAAGATTTTGAACAAACGAACATTTACATTTTTATTTATATAGATTCTGGATTTCTCAGGGCTGCATGATGTTAAGATCAGATTTTTTTTTTCAAAATCATCCTTTGAAGTAAGATTAAAAGCAACAGTAAAAAGAAGTCTTTGGATGTCCTTTTCCCTCGCACTCACACCCCAATTCCTTAAGTAGAAATTGCAGCATCAGCAGCATCCACTTGGGGGTCAGCTACATTTATCTTAAGGATAAAGTAACAAAATGTTAAAACCAACTGAGAAATTCTGTTGCTTCTCAAAGGCTTAATAAATAAATCCTTGCTATCTTCCACATTCCTGTTTAAAGGTACATTAAAATGTTAAGAGAGAGGACAAAAAGAATATTTGTAGTGGTAGTGTTATTTTTGTAAAATCCAAGATTATTTCTCTGAGTTTTACTTTTTCTCTCAATTTCTTTAATCAGATGTTCCAGAAAAAGAAACAGTAAAGAAGCTAATTTATGCCGCAAAGGTAATTGAGTAATTTTATGAAGGTTTTAACTATTTTAAAAATCTGTAAAGATTAGCATGTAAAAAAAGGTATTTGGACTATGAGAAAATACTTTATACATTGAAGGTCAGGATATTGACTTTTGGGAGGAGCTATAATTGCCAACATTGTCCTCCACTCTCCTTCAAGAATGGAATTCTCACTGGAACTCTGGATTCAGGCTAATTTTTAAATAATATATTTAGAAACAAAATGGTACATTGGTTGCATTTCATTGGACAATGTTCCCTGCACTTGTAAATTATAGTACAGACAGAAAATTAATTACAATTCATATGATATTTGTTCTAGAGGTGCAAATGTATTCTTTCTAACAAAAACGATCTTACCTAGTTTATCTTCCTTCATTGTATAGCTAAATGCTCATGTAAAATCTGTGGAAACAGAAAGGAATCAAATATATTCAAAGTTAGCTGATGAAAAGAAAGCAAAAGAGGAACTTGCAGGTAAAGTACTCACAATTTTTCCATAGATTTTTAAGTGAGTAGGAGTAAGCTGAATATGCTATTTTTAAAATTAGGGGTTTTGAAAGTAATAATTTAGAAAAAAAAGCAATTCTTAGTTATCTCCTCCTTCGCTAAATCTGCTTATGCATGGTCTGAGGAAAAATTGCAGATGAAAAGTAAGTCCCTTTGTATGAGTGGACATTGGATGTCAGATTTAGCTTTTTATAATAGCAACTTTATTTAGATAATTAGGTATCTTTTAAACGAGAGTTATTCCCTAATATATTTTGAATAATTTCTCAGTTCTCATAAGATGAAAGAATCTAAATTTTTAATGATTTTTTTTAACAATATCCCTCACCAATTATTTAGAAAAATGTTGTCATCTGCTCTAACTTTAGCAAAGTTTTTTCCAGGTTGTTAATTTTTTTCTTTTTGTTATCCTCAAAATCTTAATGGTAAATTTGGAATTGATAAAAGTGGAACCATGAATATCATTTTATTTTTGTATGGGAGTGAATCTGTAAACACTGAAGTTAGTGAAAAACTGACTATAACATTAAGGCAGAAAAAATAGATTTTTTTCTGTTTGTTCTCTTCTCAAAATCAATAAAGAGTAGCTGAAACTTCTTATAGATACTGTAGAATATCATCCAGAACAGGAAAAAAAATAGTCTAATGGCTTTTGTCTTTACAGATTGATGAACAGTGGCTAGCAGTGAATGCTTTAGAACTGTGACCTATAGCATGACTTGAACTTCCATTTGAATCATCTTAATAGATAAAGCAATTCTCACTAATAGCACTCTAAAGACCCCACTGTGCTGTGTTTTTATGGAACACATTGAACCAGCATTGACTGTCTTTGTTGGAAAAAGAATATAAAGACTTAGATTTAATAATTGGTGGTATATCTTTAAAAGCAATAGCTCTTCCAGCAGACATTTTCTATGACTGTTTGATCAATCCTAAACATCAGCTTGCAAGTACTTTGGCCCATTTAAAATATTTAGACATTTATATGTCACTGAGTAACAGCTCTGTTTCCTGTTTTAAACTGGTGTGTCCCTATTTAAGCCAACAGTAAAACTCCATGTTCAGATACATATGGAAATAAATAATATTTTGCATTTTTGTAGAAGTACAAGTCATTTTTCAGCTATTAATACTAATATTAAGTTGTTATATTAATACTAATATTGAGGGTTTCTTTAAAAAGCTATAGCAATATGTACAATATTGTGGAGTAACAATAAAGCAGAATAAAATATTCCTGATCAAACTAAATCACGTTTTTTCAGAATGAGCTCATTCAATTTCTGAGTTTCAGTTTTATGGTTCCAGTATTTGCTTATTTGTACTTATTTCTTTATGACAGAACGGATTGAAAGACTACAAAGGGAACATGTCACTTTGCAGTCAGAAAATATAGAGGTTCAAAATGAAATGCAAAAGCTTCAGCAAAAGCTTAAAGTCATGACAGAACTGTACCAAGAAAATGAAATGAATCTTCACAGGTATTACTGGCAATGGATTTATTGGTTAATAAATCACACATTAATTTGTTACTAAATGTTATTTCTCTGTAATTGAATGCTTTCAATTTGTAGCACAATATATAACCTAAATTTGCCAAATTATTTTACTAGTTTACTCTCTTGTGCCAATATTGAATAGATTAATATTAAATTCAACTCTACAAGAGTTATTCAGTTACTCTAAATCCTACAGGATACCTTAAAAGAATTATTTTTATAATATTTACTATGTTTTTGGTTTATTGGAAATCATTTTGGAATGCAAAATCTTTTTTTTAACTAGTATGATCAATCTGTCATACAAAGAACTGAATTTTGCTTTTGAATTCTTTAAAAAGGCCTATTGAATATTATTTCACTGTGTAGCCTGAATATATAAAGATTTTAGATACCGAAATTGGATACTTTTTGTGTGTGTGTGTGTGTGTGTGTCTGATTCTGCCAATCACTTAAAGAACATAGAGACATCAAATAGTGAAAGTTTTAGTTTTACTTCCCATCGTCATTTTATTTGTACACATAAACACACCACATCCAACAAAGTTCTGCATTAAAACTTTTCAGAGTAAAATCATGCATCATTCAAAGACTCTATCCAAGTTCTTTTACTGCTCTTTTTATTTGGAAATTCCATATGTTTCTGTAGGGTATATTCTATAGTAAGTGCAAGTGATTTGCAGTTTTTGTAATAGTCATCTATTACCAGAACTGCAAAACACAAGTTTGCAAGTTTTTTGGAAATAATTTTTGTCAAAGTGGCTTTCATATGAAAACTAAAAAACAATAGAGTTATGACTAACGTAATATTTACTTTTTAAAAGGAAATTAACTGTAGAAGAAAAAGAACGTTTACAGAAAGAAGAAAAACTTTCCAAAGTTGATGAGAAAATTAATCATGCTGCTGAAGAACTGAATACTTATCGGTAATTTCACCCAAGTATTATAATTAAACAATTCCAAATTTTTGAAAAAGAAATAGAGATTAATTGGAAGAGTACCAATCTAGCATTGTACTTGAGATATTTCTAGTAGTGTTTCATGTCAGAGGAAAAAAGCATTGGCCCACAGATCTATGATGCAATATTGCACAACCTTGCAACCTTCTCGAGGGAAAAAAAAAGTTCTTGCAAAGTTGGAATTGATTGATTAAACTTTTTAGTCCCACCCAGTCTGCTGTTACCACTGCAGCCATGCCCACCGAATTGGCCACACCCACCGAATTGGCCACACCCACCGAATTGGCCACGCCCACCCGGCACTCGACGATTCATAAGTGGGTTTTGGGTTGCAGTTTGGGCACTCAGTCTCTAAAAGGTTCGCCATCACTGAGATAGCTGATGATTACTGAGAATCAGTTAGACATATTTATTATTCCTTTTTAAAATCACAAATACTAGCATGCTTAAATAGGAGCACGTCATTCAAAGCAACTTCAGTTAAAAGTAATTCCATTCACAATGTCTCCTGTCGCTTTTAGGCAAACAACGAGATTGCAACAGGGAGGTTCTGATACATTTGGTCCCCTTTTTCAATAATCTTTCCAACTTCACCTGGTTTATAAAAAATAAAACCAATTTGCTTATACCTAAATTATTTAATAAAGTTTTGTAACAATAATAACATAATTTCTCCTTGTAATAATATTGTATAGGCATCGGGCAAAAGATCTTGAAGAAGAACTGGAAAGAACTGTTTGCTCTTATGAGAAACAGGTATGTATTTTCTTAATTGAAAAATTTCCAAGTTTTTTTTACCTCATATAACATGGCTTCAGTTCTTTGGCCTTTTTTTAGGAAAAAAGGTTATCATTTGAAATTACTTTTCAGTGCTGTTCTAAATTATTTCAATTGGAATTTTCTTTGATTCATATCCTTCCTTTCATTCAGGAGCTCATATCCATTTAGCCATATTTAAAACTTCACAATTTTTTGTTTAAAGCTAATATGTAACTACAACTGAGAAACTAAGGCTGAGTCTCAAATCTACATGAAAGCAAATTGATACGACTTTTATTGAATCCTTTCAGTAAAATTTGTTGTCTGGTAAATATACATAGAAGTGTGGTTTTAAATTATTTTTGGTTTAGTGGCAGAGCTTTGTTGAAGCAACATTTTGTTGTAGCTTTACCGGCTTATATTCGATAGTATAAAGTACTTAAAAGTATTGTGTTCCATTTTTGATCTGTTAAAAGGAACATATAAAATGTCACTCAGTTTGATTTTATTTCTAAATTAATGTATAGTTTTGTTTTAATAGATTAACTCACATGAGAAAAAAGCTCATGATAATTGGGTAAGTTAAAGCACTATTTTATTGCCCATTTGAAAAAAAAATACAGCGTTGGTGTAAAGTGTTTTCAATATGTAGGTTACATATATGTTCAGCTGTTAGATTTTTTCCCCCTCAAAGACACATGATTGCAAATGTTTCAAAATGGCCCTGTTTCTTTACATTTTATGTTAAATTTTATTTTAATTATCAAATTTACAAACTGCCCATCTACCTCACCGAAGGAGGGATTATTTTTCCCTCTTAATTTTTTTTTAAAAAAATTCTTAATGCTTGGCTGTTTTTTTGTAAAAAAAAAGCTTAGCCATATTTCCTATAGCACATCAGAAAGATAGAGCAAGAAAATAGAGTAGTTACCAAAGCTTTCAAAAGTTCTCAGTGCAGAATTGCCACCCATATAGTTGAATACATATCTTCCCAGATTTTTTAAAAAAGATAAATCAGAAGTGCAATCTTAAAATCATTTTCTGTTTGTGGATGCTAAATACATTCTTTTCTGAATTATGACTTTCAGAATTTATTTTCTTTAAATACCAATAGTCCCTATTTGTTAAAAAAGATTGGATCTGCATGCTTTATCTGATTGTTATTTAAAGTAATGCATGGGCTTTAAAGGTAGTATTCTAGATTTTAAGTAAAAGAATTATATACTTGATTTTCAAAATATTTGTTGAACTTTCAAAAATTACAGCACATTTATTTATTTAGACAAAATTCTGATATGTGCTATATATTTGAAGTTGACAGCCCGGGCAGCTGAAAGACAACTGAATGATATGAGAAAGGAAAATCTACACAGAAGACAAAAGTAAGTATAAAGATGTTCATGTTTAGAAGTTTTAGCATTAGTTCTAAACAGTAATTTTATTAAACATTACTACTAAAGGATAACAATTGAAACACATAAAAGGAAAGAATAGAAAGTGCAGAAAAGAAAAAAATAGAAACAAAAGAAAGTAATAATAATATAGTAAAGAAAAAAAGATACATGGTATTTAAAGAAATTACTTCCCCCTTCATCATGTATAAATAATTTTCATAATTTATCACCTTCTTTTAAAGCACAACAAATGATCTTTCCCCCCCTTATCTCATCTCTCATTTATAAATAAATCCTTAAAGTTCAGTCCTGATTAACAAAAGCAAGGCCTCCTAAGAGTCAGTACATGGTTAAATCCAGGTGGTTATAAATGTATTTTTGAACAAGGGGGTGATTCTGTGTTATTCCACCACCTGGATCTAACAGTTCTAGATAATCTTTCTCCAGTCTTCAACTTTCCATTTTTAGAGAGATACTTTAGATGCTGTAGTGGGGGTGATGCATCTGTCCTGGCCCTGTGTGATGTCTTAGTGACTTGATTTTATCAGTCATGGTATCTTTCTGGACAGTTTCAGATATTGATAAAAGGACCATGGTGTTACAGTTGATATTGGTAGGGGAGGGATATAGGCCTAACTCCCTGTTTTGCAATGGTGCTCAGAGTTTTTCCCTGTCCAACACTATTTAACACTTACATAAAGCCACTGAATGAGGTCATCTATTGGAACAGAATTAATTATCATTAATATGCTGATGATATAAAGCTTTGTATCTGTACTCAGGGCTAACCAAGTGATGCTGTCAAGGTTTGTTCCTTGTGTCTGGAGGATGTAGTGGTGTAAATGGGAAAGCACAGGTTTTGACTAAATCCAAGCAACTCAGAATGATTAGGATATTTAGGACCTCTCCCTTTCTGAAAACTTATCTTTAGTTTTGTATAGAGTTGTTCTCCTCCAGAAAGAACTGCTTTGCATTTTGGAGGTCACCTTGAATTAGTGGCAGTAGATGCAGCTGTGATGAAGCGAGCCTTTGCACAAATTCATATTGTATGCCAATTGCACTTGATTCTGGATCAGGAAGTCCATTCGTGCTTTGATCATATCACACGTTGACTATTGCAATTTGGTCTACATCAGGCTGCCCTTGTGGACCATCCAGAAACCACAATTAATCAATAATGTAATGGGGTGTAGCCAGGAATGGGATGACATCATAACAACACTAAAGCTAAACTGGTTTCCTATAGGCTTTTGGGTGCAGTTCGTGGCAGTGGTGGGATTCAAATATATGAATAACCGGTTCTCTGTGTGGATGCTGCTTCCAGAAGTCCATTCTGGGCCTGGGCAACAAAAATTTAGCTACCAGTTCTGCCGAAGTGGTGCGAACCAGCTGAATCCCACCACTGGTTCATGGGCATACTTAAGATCACTACATAGAACAATGCTATCTAATGATACTTGCTCTGTCATGATTTCCTATCTTTCAGAACAGCATGTTCTATGATATTTGGATGGGTCTAGTCTTCTATAAGACTTTAAAAATGTATTTCTCCTTTTGTGTTCCCCCCAAATACTGGGTTAGTACAATGAATGAGCCTGCTGGAAAATGGATTTGGGATTTTGGATATGTTGAGTACTTCTGTTTGTGCTGTTTTATATTATGTTGTTTTATGTTCCTAGTTTATTTTGTTTTGTTTTTAGTCCTAAATTAGTTTCACAGAATCATTTTTGCAAGTTGGGGAGCCATCCAAATCATCTGTATGTATAAATCATTGAATCAGTCAATGCCTGTGATCTATCTGATTAACTGATTTTTCTTTGCAGTAGAAAAATTAAATGGTCGAAACAGTCATATGGAAAATCATAGCTTTTTGTTCCTTTTTTTAGTTTGACAGAAATAGAATTTAAATGCCATCTTTTGAAAAAAGATCCTTATGCTTATGATGATACAGCCACAGCATTTGGCAGAGGTATGGCTTTTTATTTAATTTCCAGTGCATTTTAAAGAATTAAATTCCTTAATTTTTGAATAAATATACTAACCTACCAATTCAAGTTAATTAGTATTTGCATTTCATTGAATTATAATACCTAATTTTGTTTCCCAGTGATTCTTAAATAAAACCTGCATAATTCCTTAAATGATTTATAAAAACTGACCTGTGTAATTGCAGGGCCAATAAGAAAAGTCAATCAGTTGACTTTATTATGTTCCAATTTAAACTTCAAATCTGAGCTGATAAATAATTGTTGTTCTATACACCCATTAACGTTAACTTTGTGAATTTTAGTATTTTGTTTTAACTGTTCCAGAGCAGTCCCCATATGGACCCTCACCAATGGGCAGACCTTCATCTGAAACAAGAGCTTTTCTTTCCCCCCCAACCTTATTGGAGGGTCCCTTAAGACTTTCACCTGTGCTTCCAGGTGGAGGAGGAAGAGGTACACTTCTCAAATTTGAAAACTTAATGATTCTGGATTCTCTCTCCTCTTAGTCTATCCCTCCTTTCTTGGTAATCATTCTGTAAAATTAACTTAAAAACAACCCTTTTCAGCTAAACTTGTATTATCTATATAAATAGTCTCTAGCATGGAGCTGAGAGCAGTAATTCCATATATCCAACTTTATGTATTACATATTTTTATGAAAAATCTGCAGAGAGGCTCCTCTTCATGAAGGCACTTTTTTACACTTCCTGACTGAAATTTTTTGTAAATCTTTGATCCACCAGTAATTATGAAGCCATTTGTATAAATATTAGTTTTGAAATTAATTTACTTTAAAAAAAAACCCTAAACCAATACTGCTCATTCATTAGATTAGTAAAACTGGACCAATGATAGTGTTTAAAACTAAAATAAATGAGATGAAAGGAAAAGCAGGTCATATTATATTACAATAAAATACCGTATGGGTTTTTCCATCTTAGATTGTTGATTGTGGCCTAAAGATAGCTTTAAAATTCTTATACTTTATTCCAAAACTGCTGGGCTAAGACAGTCTGGCATGAATAAGTATAATAAAGTAGGTAAGAGATCAACCCATGCCATAGTTTGAGAATCAGAATAAGATACTCAAACTGTTTACCTGCTTTTGAACTAAAATTAATTAAAAATAGAAAGGGTGAATAAGGTTGAATATAGTTTCAGTTTCCTTTCCTACCTGTTCAAAGTGCTTATTTCTCACTTATTCTTCTAAAATAAGGAAGACTCTTTTAACCTCTTTAAAAGATGTGGTGGGTCTCTTGGAGGAGGTTGGGTTTGGGACAGAGTTGGGCTCTGAGGGCAATGTTTACTTGAAAATACATAGTGATTAGGTTAATAAAAAGATTTCCTTCCTTCCTTTGATTTGTAAGAGGAATCTTAATATAAATGTGGATTTGTTTTCAGGGTGATAGTGATAGTTTTCAAAGCAGCAGCCTGACATGACTAAACAATTGCATACCTAAGGCAAAGAGAATACTAAGGAAATTTACAACTTTTGCAGACAGGACAAAACAAATAATAGTTTATTTCAAACTGGAGAATTGGAAGAAGTGTAAGCACAGGCATCTCCTCCCTTTATCCTACTTACACCCTCTTACTGCATATTTGTACAAGCTTTTGTATATTTCCTGTACATATAAGCTTAAAGTTAATAGGACAGTACAAACATAGGCAATTATAGAACCAGTGGCAGAGAAGAACACCCTGATGAACCTCAGCGATACAAAGTTTGAGCGTTTAACAGCAATTAAGAACAGTGCCAGATTCAAAGATTCACAGTATTTTTAGAGTTCCAGACACTTAACAAAAGTCTTAAGGAATATAAACAGGCTTTCAACAATGCATGTTTGTGGTCAGATAAAAGTTTTATCTGAGAGCCAGCTTGGTGTAGTGTTTAAGGCATCAGTCTAGAAACTGTGTTCTAGTCCCACTTTAGGCACAAAGGTAACTGGGTGACCTTGGGCAAGCCATTTTTTGTCTAGCCCTAAGGAGGCAAAGGCAAACCACTTCTGAAAAACCTTTTCTCTGGCTAGTGTTCACTGGCCCAATTCTGATCAGAATGTGTGTGAAAGTGAAAACACATACCCCTTTTTAATTATATGAAGAGTTCTTTAATGTCCATAACATATGTGAATTTTCTAATTTCAGAGGTTTTACTGCTCTAGATTGGGCCAGTGGGTGGATGTAGAAAGCTTACACATCCCTGTTAAATTGCCAGGTTTTTGAGATGTAAACAAAAAAAAAATCAGACCCAGGTAAATCGGTTCAGAATTTTTCCACCTTTAACATATAAGCTGTACAGTTGAAAAACAAACTGAATTTTTTTAGGAAGAAAAAAATAACAATAAAAAGTGTACAATAACGTGGTTGCATAAGTATGCACACCTTTAAACTAATACTTTGTTGAAGCTCCTTTTCATTTCATGACAGCATTCAGTCTTTTGGGGTAGGAGCCTATCAGCATGGCATACCTTGTCCTTGGAATCTTTGCCCACTCTGCCTTGCAAAAAAGCACTCCCAAGTCTGTCAGATTGCAAGAACATCTCCTATGCACAGCCCTCTTCAGGTCACTCCCACAGATTTTCAATTGGATTCAGGTTTGGGCTCTGGCTGAACCATTCCAAAACTTTGATCTTCTGGTAAAGCCATTCTTTTGTTGATTTGGGTTGTTGTTGTGTTGAAATGTGAAATTCCTCTTCATCTTCAGCATTTTAGCAGAGTCCTAATATTTGGAACTGTTCATAATTCTCTCCACCTTGATTAAAGCCCCAATTCTAGCTGAAGAAAACAGCCTCAAAGCATAATGCTGCCACTACCAAGTTTCAATGTTGGTTTGATGTACTTTTGGTAATGCACAGTGTCATTTTTGCACCAAACATACTTTTTGAAATCATGGTCAAAAAGTTCAGCCTTGGTCTCATAAGATCATAACACATTTTTTTCACATGCCTTTATCAGACTTGATGTAGGTTTTTGTGAAATGCAGTCGGACTTTTCTTTGTAAGAAAAGGCTTCCATCTTACCTCCGTATATCACAGCCCAGACATATGAAGAATACAGGAGATTGTTGTCACATATAGTACACAATCAGTACTTGCCAGAAATTCCTTTAAAGTTGCTATAGGTCTCTTGGCAGCCTCCCAGCTCAGTTTTCTTCTTGGGCTTTTTTTTCCATAAATTTTGGAAGAATATACACTTCTTGGTAATATCACTGGTTTTCTCTACTTGTTGTTGTCTTCACTATGTTCCATGGTCAATTTGTTTGTACTCTTCTTCTGACTGATACCTTCCAACAATGAGATCCCTTTGACATTTGTAAGCTCTTTGCAGACCTGGCTTTTGGTATAAGAGGCAACTGAATAAATGTCAGAAAAATCCTACTAAAACAGCTGAAATTTATATGGATTTGATCAGTCACTTTGCTTGATGGCAGATGTGTACTGATTACTATTTATCATCAGTTTGAATGCAATCAGTTAATTCTCAATACAGCCACATCTCTACTTGTAAGGAAGCATACTTATGCAACCATGCTATTGTACTTTTTATTGTTATTTCCCCCCTAAAAGATATGTTTGTTTTTCAATTGAATTATACAGCTTATATGTTATATTAAAGGTTGCAAAAAAATCTGATTTATCATGGTCTGATATTTTTACATCTCAAAAGCCTGGCACTTTAACTGGGTTTTCTATATCCACTATACATCTTGGAGAATCAATATTCTAGCTGCATGATACAAAGTTTACATAAATGTATTGTGAGCCAGCTTAAATATCACAACACATTATGTTTTATTATCCTATTTGTAACTTCAGTGAGATTTTACTTGTGTATATTAATCAAATTTATCTTTTCACCTAAACTTGATAAATGAGTAATTTTTTATGATAAATATGACACAGACTTATATGTTTTGAAATGGACATTGTTTTGGTATTTACAGGTTCAGTTAAGACTATTAGATATTGTGCTAATTGGATTCATTGTAATTTTTTTGATTAGGTTCAAGAGGACTGGGGAATCCTGGCATAACTGAAGTTGTTAATGAAAGAGGAGAGCTGAACATCAATAGGTTATCTGATCCACACAGGCCACCTTCTGACACTGGATCTTTGTCACCTCCATGGGATAGAGATCACAGAGTAATCCTTTCTCACCCAGGTAACAAAACATGGTCTGCCCTTCTTTGCTAAATGCAGAAATGAAACTACATTGAAATATTCCTGGGAACTACTTTGAAATGGATCTTTGATTTGGATTCAGTGGATAGATATGTACAAATCATTTGAAGGTGGTGTACTTTAAAACATGGTTTTTTCCTCAGAATAAATATTTATTTATTTACATCCCACCTTTATGAATTTTATAAGTAGCTCAAGGTGGAGAACATACATAATACATCCCTTTTTTTACAGAATTAGCTGATTTAAACATTTTAAGGGGTATATTTTTGGTTCATTTAATCCAAAACCTATATGATTAGAACCCTAGAACCATTTCCAGATTACATATTTCTGAAAATATATAAACTACCCTCATAGTACTGATATTCATCTAGTCCATTTTTTTTTTAAAAAAAGGGATGTCCCAGGAATTCTTCAGACTAGTATAGTTGAATATTTTTTTCTAGCATCATATGTTATAGATTAATTCTCCAGAGAAGATATGTTTACAGAGAGAAATCCAACATTGAAATGTAGAGGAATTGCCTGACCATGGGAGTTATTAAACAGCCTGCTTTCTGGAGTTATTGGGGCTCCATTACAATAACTGGATAGCAATTTTTGCGAGATGGCATGGGCAATTGTGTGGATTAGAGGACTCCACTTTCCCTTTCAATCTTAATGATTTTATAATTCTATATTAAGTATATAATAAGTATCAGATGTCCATTAACATTTATTGGGAGCATGTGCTCTTGTCTCTTATAGTTAACTTGTATGTACTGGTGTATAAGGAATACAAAATAAAATAAGCTCTAGGCATTGTTCAGGAATTCTTCTGAAAGAGCTTTATTATTTTTTTTTATTAAACAGTAGGTCACCTCTATAATGAGCAATCTTTTCCTCCTCGGAGACCAGAAAGATTTTATTCCAATCCTCTAAACTCTGGAAGGCTTTCAGGACCAGCTGAACTAAGAAGTTATAACACGCATTCAGTTGATAAAACAGGTTGGAATTGTAGTTTTAAAATACTTGAATTTAAAAGTAATTCTTTAGAACCTAGACAAATGCACATTTTCAGGCTTTAGTTCTTCTTAGTAAGATAATCTAAGAATGTTAGTAAGACATCTAGGTATGTTAGTAGTAGGTGTGATATGTTGAAAGCTGTGTTCTGTGCCCTCTGCAGTAGAGCTCTTTCCAGTTTCTCACATAGAAAGAAGCAGTGCTGGAAGTTAGGAAACAAGTGAATCTACTTTAACCGCTCATCAGATGTGGAAAATAGCTGTGCTGTGAGAATAGGAGATAATGTGTGCAACTAATCTTTCTCCCATGCTGCCCCATAACAGCCTTTTCAGGAACCTTGGCTGTTCTCTCAGGCGGTGTATGTTGCATGGGGATGCATCTGCCCATGCATATGAAATCAGGTAGAAGAACATTAACAGGATTGAGGGTGAAGGGAGGTTTACTTAGAAAGGAAATATGAAAAGAAAACATCTGTTTTAAAAACAGAACTAAATACAGCCCAATACACTTAAACACGATTTCACACTAAATATATATTTAAGACGTTTAATTCAGCACTAGTAATCATTGGTTATTCAGACTTGGAAACAAATCATCATAATAAATGACTTCATTTTCAGTAGCATGATATTTAAGCAGCATTCTTGATTCTTGCACGCCAGCCATGCAAGCGTGAAAAGGGAAAGTTTTAAATGTTCTGTGCAGGAATGTTAACATTTATTTATTTTGTATCTGTATGGGGGGGTTAATTTTTTGAACCCGAAGAAGCATTCATGTTTCTCATTTAGCATTTGTGCTTAACAAATGTGTGAAAACATTACATTTGACATTGTATCTTGTGTTTATAGCCATCTGGAAGGAATACGTTTGTGAGTCTGCTTAAGGTTAAAATGTGCTTTCCTTTCCTTCACATCCAGATGGACCATCATCTGAAAATAACTCCAGAATGGACATGAGTGGAGATGAAATAAGAGATCATGCCAATGGCAGTGTAAGTAAAACACAGAAAAACAGAGAGAAAAAGAAATAAATTTTAAATTTGCAGCGCTGGAACTGATTTTGTATAATTTGTATTTTTGTGTATCTTTATTTATATGAATGCTTCCATATTCTAACACTGAATAAATGTTAGTTCAAGCAGTGCTTTTATAACTGAAATGATTTTATAACTGAAAAAGCAAAAGGAAAGAAAGAACACGAGGTTAAAAATAGTTGTTTGGTAATGGCTGGACCGTGCATTTTCTCTATAGCAGGGTTCTGCAACCTTGACAACTTTAAGACTTGTGGACTTCAGCTCCCAGAATTCCTCAGCCAGCTCTGGGAGCTGAAGTCCACAAGTCTTAAAGTTGTCAAGGTTGCAGAACCCTGCTGTAGAGAAAAGGGCTTAGATTTCATCCTCGTTTGGTAGTTGTGCTCTCAGAAGAGAGAAGGCAATTTCTGCTGTTTTTCCCTCTCTTTTGAATCAGGGAAAACTGTTCTTCATTGAGGGAACAGATGCAGGGACGGCTTAGGGGGGCTCAGAGGAGAAAGTGGCTCCATGAAGATCCCACTTAACCCAGAGGGTTTTCACTGTAATCTCTCCCATTTGTGATTCATTCCGTTGTATACTATTTTAATTGATGTCTTTTCGCTTGCAGCTTTTGAAAATGGATTTGAATGCATTCTTTTTGGTTCATGCCTTTGCTTTGGATTCCATTTCTACTCTAGTCTGCTTTCATAAGGCACACATGTAAATGACAGGTGCTTTTCAAAAAGTTAACTTGCCTCCATTCCTTTATTTATTTATTTATTTATTTATTTATTTTACAGAATATGCACAATATACACCATCAGTCTCTTCCTCCTGAAAACGAAACCTTAGGACCAGGAATTGTGCCACCACCACTTCCCTTTTTGAGAGCTCCTCTAATGTCAATGGATCCTAGAGGACCTTTCATGAGAAGAGGCCCTCCATTTCCACCAGTACCTCCTTCTGTATATAGTTCCCAGGAATATTTCCCAAGGGATTTTGCGGGTTTGCCACGTCCTCTATTACCAAGTAAGTAGTAACTAGTTTCTAAATACTAAATAAATTCCTAGGAAAACATTCACAAACCATAAGTTGAAGCACCGTCCAAGAAGAAATTGATGTATCTGGATCTGATGTACCTTTTTCTGTTAGAATAACAATCCAATTTCCTTGCTTTTGAGATTTAATTCCAGTTAATTTGCCTATGTCGGGGATCCCCAACTCCCAGTCTGTGGACTGGTAACCAGGCCACACAAACAAAGCCCCAACCGTGGGATTGAGGCAGCACACAAAACTACGCAGTCTCCGGTCCGTGGAAAAACCTTTCTCCACGGAATTGGTCCCTGGTGCCCAAAAGGTTGGGGAACTCTGGCCTAGGTGCTTCTGATACATAATTTTTTTCCTAGTTTAAAATTCTTTTAAGAACATGAAATTTATTATTAAAGTTGTTGCTAAACTCTAGCTCTGTTTAGTAACAACTTATAGTTCTAGGACACATTCTTAAAGGTTCTTGAGGAGTGATGCCTCCCTGTTTGATCCAGATGTCATATGCCAGGTACCTAAGCTCTGCCCCAAAGCCCGTTTAAGGTGACCTCAGGCTAACCAAGAAATGCTGTCAAGGTTCCTTCTCCTTGAAGGCTGCTGAGGCCTAGATGGGGAAGGCCTTGAAGATCTGTTTTTTCCTCAGGCATTACAATGTCTTGTGAAAGATTTTTGCTAGGAATTTCAGCTGCATTATGTTGTATTGAATTATACTAATTTGCATTATGTCTTTGTATTGTTACAAAATCACTAAGTAGAAGCAGTCATCTTTTAAATCAGGTTAGATGGGTGGGTGGATGAGTGGATGGATGGATGGACTGATATGAGAACAGGCAAATCTAGCAAAGTTAATTAAAATTCATCTCTGATAAAAGGCTCATGAATTGGGAGCAGTCTTTCAGATTGATGTTTTCTTGATATCCCGATTTATTGGGAAACAAGAGTTCATTATATAGAGAGCATCAATTTGGCAAAGGCAGTTTTGAGAATGTGAAACATTCACCGTTTAAATCTTTTTTTTAATGAAACCATTTTATTGAGATTTTTTTTAATGTTGTCTGTTACTAGTTGTTTTGAATTATGTGTCCAATGTTAACTAGCTTTGCTCTAAATTCAGACTAAAAAGATGTTGATAATTCTCTTTGAACAGTGAGAGGTCCCTTTCCTATGAGGCCTTTTTCACAATATCCACCTCCTCCGAGGGCTGGCTTTTTTCCTCCTCCACCTCCACCGCCATCTGATAACAGAAATGAGGTTTCTGCTGAGTTAACACACCTGTCAACTGTATCATCTACAGATAATCAAGAATCACAAGAAACTGGTTGAAAATCATTTTGTTCTTGACAATTCTCTCGACTGAATTATTTCTTCTCAACTGAAGTAACTTGTTACTTAATCAACTCTATTATTGCTCAAATTGAAGCTGAATAGAGTAATTCTCAGGAGAGTGATCTGTAAATATTGGTTTAACTGTGAATAAATTATAACTGTACAGCAGCAACTTTTAAATATTTTTATTTTGCTTATCTAGGAGATGTAAAATTTAGTCCAATAATAATAATTCTCTAGCTGTTTTTCACAACACCTGGTCTCATAAAAAATTAATGCACGTGAAAATGAGGATTACGGCAAAATGCAGGTGTTAAAAAATAAAAAAGGTTTTAATCATTTGTAATATTTTGATTATTTAATAAAAGTCAGTGTCCTCTTTTTTTTTAACATCAATTCTGAAAGTATACTCCATGGTAATCCTTCAGAAGTTTTGTATAGTAAGTCCTCAAGTTATGACTGATTGCTTAGTGACCATTCAAAGTTATGATTTATCTGGAAAAAAAGGGAATTAAGATCCAGTTCCAAAGTTGTGGCAGTTCCTGACCCCCTCTGGGAGGGCTACTTTGGGCACTTGGCAATACAGCCACGTTTGTAGCATCTCATGGTCACATGACTATCTGTTACAATGATTTTGCCAAAAATTGTAGGGTTTTCAGCAAAATCAACACCATAGCAAACAGTGAATTCACTTAACTGCTGCATTTGTTTAACAATTGTGACATCCTCTTAATGACTATCTCAAAAACTGCTGCTGCAAAAAAACCAGTTGTTGCAACATACAATTGTAATGGGCAGGCTCTACCTGTACTGTCTTTCCACTGCTATAGTAAGGACTACCTGTACTGTCTTTCCACTGCTATAGTAAGTATTGTAATAGTGTACTACCTGAGACCAGTCTTATCATCTTTTCTTCTTAATATAAACTAAAGCTTTATGTTACTTTAAGAATTTGGGAGATTCATTGCATCGCTCAAGGCAGAACGCCTGTGTGTGTCTTTTTAATAATCGAAAAGATGGTCGTTAGCTTCATCTTATTCCTTCTGATGCCTTACAGCTTATGAACTGTTATTTGAAATTTGAGTCATATAATTTTGCATTGCAGTATATAAAAATTCACAGTATATTTCTATTTTTTATTTATACATTAAGATTGTCGCCCCACTTTTCTCCAGGAGTTCAAGGTGATAACAGTTACACAGCTCTTCTTCCTTCATTTTTTTTTATTGCAACAATCCTGCTAGATAGCTTGAATTAAGGAAGAATAATTCCTTCAAAGTCTCCCAAGTGAAGTTGGGAGAGCCAGGCCTTGATGCCCTTCCTGAAGGCCAGAAGAGTAAGGGGGCACCTCACCTCTGGGGGCAAAATGTTCCACAGGGTGAGAGCAACAGCCGAGAAGGCTCTCTTCTTAGACCCTGCCAGTTGAAAATCTTTAACTGATAGCATCTGAAATACTACCTTCCCTTATTTGTTAAGCAAATCCCTGCAGGTAGTTAAATGCAACATCATATTACCACAACTTGCAGCTTCCTGTTTACTTCCTCACTGACTTTGTCAGAAGTTGGCAGTGAAGATTGCAAATGTCAATCAGGTGACTGGGATGCTGTGACCATTGAAAATACATGCAGATTGCCACGCAGACAATCGTAATCATGCCGATGTGCAAAGCATTCTTGACTTAATCACTGGAGATGAACAAAGCCAGTAGGGAATGAATCATACTGCTATAATAAAGTACCTAACAACAATGAATTTTGATGCTTTATTCGTTGATTAAAAGAATATACATTTAACATAAACCATACAACATCAGTCATCAAGTCAAACACTCAGCTGGTTTCCTTACATTTTCTGTCAGGAGTTACCTTACTCTGATCACATTTATAAGATAAAATCTCACCACATCTGGCATATACACACACTGTGCCAGTGGATTCACTCTACTGATGTACATATAAAATCCGCATGGTATGTGCTCACTGGAGACAAAACAGCGCACACCTGTCAAAGGTCATTTTAATATAAGATGGTAAAACCATTTGTAAAACACATATAAACTTTTCCATAAATAGAATCATATCTGGACATCTGTTGCATAAATTGTGTTTTCCAAAGCTTACAATATGGCAGCCAGGTCTCAGCACTGCTGGGCACCCACGTTGGCCACTTACTTTATTATTGCAGACTGTCCTTAACGTTAAATGCACAACATTCGTACCACTTAAAACTTGGGTCAGGTGGAAGTCTCACAGAGACCACGTCTGTACCGCGGTTGCCCTGAAACAGTTTAAATCGGCTTTTAAAGCCTCTCAGATATAACAAGATTTTAAAACATACTTCATGGAATGTTCTTCATGCATCATAGCAGCTCATACCTGTGATAGAACAAGGTTTTTATCGGTTTCTTTTCCTTCCTTTACATTCACTATTCACAGTGAAACAGGTGCATGTTTAAGAGTTCTGAGGTTGCTGACTGAGCCACAGCACAGCTGTGTACCACAGGTCGAAATTCGACCTTATATATTACAATCTAGCAGTACCTGGCTGGCCAAAAATTGGCCTGCCCCTGCCAGCATGTGGGCACTTCTTCATTTTAATCTATTCTTTGGCAGCTGACACAGGCGCTGACAGAGAGAATCCAGTGACTTAGTTGCTAGGGATTTCACGACTAATGTTTGTTTGTGCAAGCAAAGTAGACTTATAAATTTATATCTAAATTGTTAGGGTTTTACCCCATTGGAGTGTATAATCTTAACATTTCTTTTCAAACCTGGGCCCGAAGCTAACTTGGACAGAGAAGCTGACAGACCACGAGAAAAAGAAGCTATAATTAATTTACAGTGAAACTACAGCTTTTATAGCCTTCAGAGTCAGGTAAATCTCTGAATAAGCTACACAGTGCAAGAAACTACTGTTCATATTTAAGGAGGAGATTGCAGAATGGCAGAAATTCATGCTTCAGATATTGTATGTGAAATCAAAGCAAGGTTTACAGCAAATGGTATTGATCGTCTTGATTTTAAAAAAAAAAGCTTAAGTAGCATGCTACCAATTTACATGACAATGACTGCATTCACCGGGCTATGAATAGTAAAAAGATTTTTGGCTTCTGAGCACAAAAAACTCTGACAATAGTAAAATCAGTGAAGTTGCAGACTTACTCAGTACAAAAAGAAAGTTAGCTGGCAATCTCACGATAACCTTCAGCCTCATCTGAGTTTTGTTTTGTTTTGTAGACAAGTCCATTAACCGTGAAAGCCCTAAACATTGCCACTTTCAGCTTCTAAACAATACCCGACTACGTTCTTTGATCAAGAAGTAGCATATACATATATAATTCTATATAGCTAATACTGATTAAACACAGCACAAGAGGGGTTAATTCACACTACTGAAAAACATAATAGGACCCTACTTGCATATGTAACCACAGGAACTGTAAATAAAGAGAACTAAATGCCTTCACTGAAGCTTTGCATTTCTCTGTAAAAATGACGAGTTGGCTCAGTAAACACACTGAGCAATTCTATGTCCATGACTGCATGCCAGGGTCGACCCAATCCAAGGGATACCTGCTCAATGAGATTATGCACTGGATCTACATCCTGATCAGCCAGTTCACCATTGTCAAAATCAATGCTTTCTTCTGTGACTTCAAGCACTTTCAAATCAGAGCCACGAAGACGAGCAATGGCAATCAGGTTGTGAGCCCAAACAGTATAACCTGAAACACAAAATCACACGTTATTATTTTACTGGATTTCAATTTTCTTCCTCTCTTCCTATTCTATAGATTTAATATCTAACAACTAATGCCTTGCTATTAGCTTTCCTTTCCATCTAATAATTTTCTCATTTAACAAAGTTAAAACAACTTTGTTATAACTTGGCAATCAACTGATGGAATTCATCCAAAAGGTTAAGACGCTAAACAAATTGGCTTTTACTGTTTTGTTACCAATCTTTATTAAATAATATTTCTAGGTAATTTGTGTAGATAAATTTATCGTAATATTTATACATATACATTAAGTAAGCTGCTCTATTAGCACAGTGCATACATATTTTAGATTAAGCAGCCAGTTATCTTAAGACTTACTGGAAGTTAACTATTTAAAAACAAACAAACAGTAATATATATCTAATTAATTTTTAAACTAGGGTTCCTTTCTTCCAATTTGATTGTTTTGCAATTGTCTCAGTCTTAAATTATAACAATTTCTGCACTTTAATTCCTAATTTATATGCATAGTACAGTGTGCTAAAGCCAATGGAAAGCTTAATTCCTGCTTCTTTATATAAGTTTTCTTTCTCATAAGAAAAATGGTTGATATGAGATTACAATTGCATATCAGTGGAACAACCTGCCTCCAGAAGCGGTGAATGCTCCAACACTGGAAGTTTTTAAGAAGAGACTGGACAGCCATTTGTCTGAAATTGTATAAGGTTTCCTGCCTGAGCTGAGGGTTGGACTAGAAGACCTCCAAGATCCCTTCCAACTCTATTATTATCATCATTATCATCATTATATTATCTGTACACATACTAGTAATCAATGCTAAGTACTTTTCTAAGTGGTCGATGCTTTGCACCTATGGAAATGCGTACCATGCACTGCCAGAAGGGATAGCCTTGTGCACCTCCACGCCAATAAAACCAATGGATCTTCGGTCCGGTTGTCACTGAGATCTGGGAAGCCAGACATATCTATCACATCATTCATTAATATGAAGTGAGTGAGGAACTTATCATACTGCCTAGATATGAGATCAACGACAGCTCCTGAAACGCAAGTAATGTAACTGTCAAAGTGAATCCTTTCCAGTGGGATACTAGGTTTAAGAATTCTTAACATGTCATCACTCTTGATATCAAAAGCTATTATATAGACCCGAAGATTAGTGCTGTTGCGTGTCAGGGCTTTCCAATCTTCATCTTCTGGCATATTCTCCAAGGATTTGTGCATTACAGAAATATTGTGGACCAGAAGAGATAGTCGATGCAAAGGCACATGGTTATTGTCAGCCAAAACTCTCGCCATTTCTCCTGTAAAATCACAGAAATCCAAGGCAAGCGAGCGTAGATTGATAAAGCGCTCCATTTCAATTGCTGTGATAAGAGTGGTATTACCCGGAATGTGGTTATCCAGTAGGCTCAGGTGCTCCATGGTGCTGGCAATGGAATTTGAGAGAGATGACAATGATGTGGGCGTTACAATTTGTAGCATAAACCCACATGACAACCATTTCAGTTGCCTGCTGTTTCCCAAAATTTCTTCAAATAACTGCTGTATTCTGCAAGAAAAACAAGCAAACGTTTAAACCTTCCATAATAAATTCAGAGGCAATAGGTAAGCAAGAAAATTATACTGTTGTCCCATGTTGTGCTAGCTACACAAATGCTAGCTTTAAATTTCTGAGGTAAAAATTGTATTACTGTACTATTCTGGAGAAAATCTACTTGTAGGTTCAGAACTTAAGTTCCTTAATTGCTCTATTTTAAATAAATATAACATAAAATCAATGTTTGCCTTCTGAAATTCTACATGCTAACTTGCTCTGTTCCACTTTTTATTCAATACATGCTCAGGTTATCTATCATACACAGCTAGAACTCCTATAGAATGCAGTACCTGGCGGGTATTACTGAGTACCTGGCGGGTATTACTGAGACCTGGTTGGGCGCAGAAGGAGGAGTACCTCTTGTAGACATCTGCCCACCAGGTTTTCAGGCATTTCATCAGCCGAGGATCCGGGGTAGGGGCGGGGGGGTAGCGGTCATTATAAGGGAGGGCCTATGTCCTAGGGAGACCACTGTGCCTCAGATAGACGGCGTGGAGTCCCTCCTTGT